CAATAGATTTCGATTTATCCAAATCCAATAGGTTTGTTTTTTCTATGTGGAATCAAATTGAGTTTTTTTTTTTCAAATATTGCTTTAGAACCTACATGAGTTTAAGGTGTTTCACCCCGTCCAAGTATATATAAATATATGTTTTGTATTTAATTTTATATTTATATTATTAAATTATTAGTTAATATATGAATTTAATAAATCCATGAACCATCTCTATTTGCCTTCCTTTTATTTTTTTCGCTATTCCTTTTGTTTTAAAAAAAATTAACTTTTAATTAGATAAATTTTGTAAGAAAATAGTCAATCAATACATGGATAACAAAACAACTAATATCTCATGGGTTTCAATTTTGGTCGATCTAATATATATGATTTTTTAAAAAGTCGAGATCAGGTCAAACTTTTTCTCTTTTAAAGTTAGGGTCGAGTCGGAAGTAGTTTTAAGATTATTCTTCTTGCCTCAAGTATATATATAAAAATATTTTTTAATTATTTATTTTATTTTATATTTATATATGTATAATATTAATAAAGTTATTATTTAATATCTTAATTTAATAAAAATACTTTATTTATACATAATTAAAATGTAATTTATCTATCTCATTCATCCTCCATTATGTAAATTTTATTCATTTTAACTTTTGTTTTATCCTCATTCAAGATATTGGTGTGACACCTTATATTTCTTTTCTTTGTTTTACTCTTTTTTTTCTTCTTTTTTGTCAACTTTTTTTAATTTTTCATTTAGTTAAGGTTATTAAAAAAAATTGACCAAGGCATTCATGCAGCATCTTAATTTGATTTTTAAAAATTTTTTAACTACATAAATTTTGCAACAAAATGAGTAAATGGATAAGCAAAATAATTAATATCCGATAAATTTTAATATGACTCGATCTGATAGTGGCATTTTTTGTTTTGTTGCTTTTCTCGTTTTTTTCATTTATAACTTTTTAATTAGATAGATTTTGTAAGAAAATAACATTAACGAAGGTGTCAATATATCAACTCCATTTGTTAATTTACTTTTGTACTTTTTAGTTTTTGTTTATTTTTTTTAATTAGATCAATTTTACAAAAAAAAATTAGTTTTAGTATCCTATAGGTTTCTATCCATCACAATCCGATATGGGTGTTTTTATAAAAAATATGTATGAAATCAAGTTGAGTCATTTTTTTTTATAGAAATCAGGGATGGGTCAAAAACAAATTTACAATATTCTACCTCAAGTCACCTTCTAGAATATATAAAAGTATATATTGTATTGTCTAGTTAATTTTACACTTATATATGCATTATAATAATAAAGTTTTTACTTTATATTTTAGATATTAACATTTTAAACTCAATTTTAACATTCACATGACAATTCAATGATTTACATTTTCCTTTTTTTGGTTTACTTTTCTTTTTCCTTTTAATTCTTTTTTTATTTTTTATTAATAAAGTTATTATTTGATGTCTTAATTTAAAATATTAATATTTTAAGCTCAATTAGGATGCCCACATAATATCCCAATGAGCTCTTTTTTTCCTTTCTTTCCTTTTTTTTTTTTTGTTTTTTGTTTTTTATTTTTTGTTTTTCCTTTTTTTTATCTTCTTTTGTTTTTATATCTTTTTATTAAATTAATTTTGCGAAAAATAAGGCTAATAGAGATATTCACATGGTACCCTATTTGTTTTAATTTGTTTTGCATTTTTTTGTATTTTCTTAATTAAATAAATTTTGCAACAAAAATGTTAATTGATAAAGATATCAAAATAATTTATATATGATAGATTCTGATCTATTCATACTTAATAAGGGACTATTATTTTAAAATCGGGATTGAGTTGGGATGGATTAAATTTTTTATGAGAAATAAGATTGAGACAAAAACATATTTAGGATGCTTTATTTCTACTTATTTCAGAGTGTGTATAAAAAATTATATTTTATTGTTAATTGAATTTTTTATTTATATAATATAGTATAATAATAAATTATTTTTTATACTTTTAAGTTAAAAAAAATTATATTTTAAACTCAGTGGGGTGTTTGTATGGCATCCTTTATGAGTTTTTTTTTTTATTTTTTTAGATTTTTATTTTTTAAGATATGCTTTTTTAAAAATATGAGGTCAATTTAGGTATACACGTGTCATCCAAATTGGGTTTGTTATTTTTTTTATCTTTCACTATTTTTAATTAAGTAAATTTTGCAAAAAAAAATAGAGATGACAGAATTAAAAAAAAAATTCACCCATGACAACGTGCGGGCATTCACCTGGTTTAAATAAAATTTGGAATTAGATTTGGTTACAATTTAGCCCATTCAGTAGCCAACTAAATCCAAAAAATTTATGAGTACAATGATCGATTGTAATGTTTGAATTGGCCCAAACCCAGTATATTCAAATGAAATGAAAATCATTTAGCAATTTGCTTTGACTTGATTTTCAAATTAATTCAAATAAAATTTGATATTTATAATTATTATTAATTAAAAATATAAGTAAAAAAGTGCTCAGATTCTGTATAAGAAAATTTAGTGTTTTTTATACTTAATTTATTGAATTAACCGGATGTATCAAATTGTTTGTAATATTATGTATATATATTCAATACACAAAGAATAAAACGTATTACTGTATTAATGAATTATAAAATCGATATATATTTTTTTAAAGTGATAGAAATATATAAATAATTTTTATGAATATCATATGTTATTTATGTGTCATTAAAAATAATATAATAAAAAAATTCATTAAATAATATTAAATTTCACAAACTCAATTATATTTCTTAAAATTAATAAAATACAAAAATCATCTATTTTTTTAATTATTGATTTTTTTGAAATCATTTATCTTTTTAAAATTTAAGAACTCGCAAATTAATCGGCGCCCTACTCTAAATTTAAGTGCTGTAACTGCGTAGCATATAAATTGTCTTTTTCCGTACAACACAAATAATGGTACTTGTTTTCTTTAAAGGTTTTTTTTTATTTTTTTTTTATTGTTTTGATATATATTTTTATTTCATCCTCGAAGTGATAGGATACTCCAAATCTTTTCAAGGCATTAATCAGCTCAAGTTTCTCCAAAAGATCCACCACATCGTCAAGCATCATCCTCGCTTCTGCAATCAATTTCCTTGCTCGTTCCTTTTATGATTTACCCTGTACGCACAGGGCACAAGATTTTCTTAGCTTGCCCAAAATTTAGCATTAACAAGGAAAGCCGAAAATTGGAGCCATCTGTTATGCACTAAAAGGTAATTACCTTCATATAATCTTTTTTCGGTAACTGAAATAGTGTCATAAAATGCACTTTTTCATTTGATAAGAATGCTCCCATCATTTTTTTCAAACGGAACCTATATCTTTGTGGATAAATAATTTTTTTATTAAAGAATAAAAATATTAGATTTTTATTTTTTGAATAAAAGTACATTTATTTTAATTAAGATTTTATAATTATGATTAATTAAGGTCAAAATTTTGTAGTAACTTTCAAATGATCAATTTCATAAGATCAAAATTCACATTATTGCGAATATGTTACAGTAATTGGCACCACTCATCAAAATAACAACAATTACCATTCTTTTCGACCATGAAATTCGATAAGATGAAATTCTTTTTAAAACTGAAATTAATTAAGAAAAAAGTGAAGAATTGGAAAGCGTTTTTCCCACTTGGATGTTACGCTTGCTGCATTCATGAACTTGCAAGGATGAGGCGGGAAAGTCGCTGTCCATGGGCCATTTCCTGCCATGTGAGGGTACAGGTGAGGAAGTGGATAGGATGAGGAAGCATGTCTTGATTACATATTTGCTCTATTTTTTTTTTTTTTAATAATTATAAAGTACGATGCCTAAATTAAAGAAATAGGTGAAATTAGTAATGATGGTACTCGATCCTTGGTCACAAGATGTCCAATCCCATGGCCATCACCATGTTGGTACATGCATTGAGACATCCTTGCAAGGTTGACTGCAACTTGAATA